TCATCGAAGGCTGCATCCGCATGGACAAGAACGAGAGGTGGGGGCAGAGCGGGGCCTGGGTGGCAGGGTCCCCCTGGCCCTGAGCCCACACTGAGCTGTGCCCTCTGCAGGTACACCATCCAGGACCTGCTGGAGCATTCCTTCTTCCAGGAGGACACCGGGGTGCATGTGGAGCTGGCTGAGGAGGATGATGGAGTCAAGTCTGGGCTCAAGCTCTGGCTGCGCATGGACGACTCGAAGAAGCTGCATGGCAAATACAAGGACAACAACGCCATCGAGTTCCTCTTTGAGCTCTACAAGGATGTGGCAGAGGAGGTGGCTCAGGAGATGGTGGGTACAGAGGTGGGGGAGCCCTGGGGGGTCCCTACACCCCGAAGTGACAAGCTCCCTCCTGTGCAGGTGGTCCTGGGCTTTGTCTGTGAGGCCGACTACAAGCTGGTGGCCAAGGCTGTGCGGGACCGTGTGGTCGCCATCAAGCGCAAGCGGGAGAAGCTGAAGCGTGCCCAGGGCGCTCCATCACCCGCCGAGCCAGAGCAGCCCCCGGGCGTCCTGCGGCTGCTGGAGGAGCTCAAGTCCCCGCTGCCACCTGGTGCCCCCACGCCTGCCCTGGCCACGCCTGGCTCTGGGGACTCTGCCTTCAGCAGCACCTTCCCCCTGGAGCCTGAGGAGCCCGAGGCTGACCAGCACCAGCACTTTACCTACCGGCACACCAGCTACTCCTCAGCCACCTGTACGTAGGCACCAAGGGGCAAGAGCTGGGTGGGCAGCAGGGGAGCTGGGTGGGAAGCAGGAGGGGGGTCTGTCAGCTTCTCCCAGCCCCACAGCCCTCCCCCAGCTGCCCAGCCAGGGAAGGGACTGGCTTTGGTTCACGCCAGTTCTCCTCCACAGCCGACTGTGAGACCGATGGGTACCTGAGCTCCTCTGGCTTCCTGGACTCCCCGGACCTGGCCCACCGCAGCTTTGTGGCAGTGGACCCCACCAGCCCGCCCCTCACCCGGCCCGTGCGCTGCTTCCCCACGGTGAGCACGGCCCCACGGCGGGGAGGGGGCTCAGGGCAGCTGTGGCAGCAGCTCACCCCCTCCTCTCCCTGCAGAGCATCGCCGTGCAGCTGCCCACGGAGCATTTGCCCCCTGCCAGTGGCTTCTCCTCCTCGGTGGACAGGTGAGGCTGGGGGGTCGGGCAGGGAGCGTGGTGCTTGGGAATGGCCATGCTGATGCTCTGGAGCTGGGGCTTCCTGCAGCTACACCTCGGATGTGGCATCGGGCATGAGTGATGGCTATGAGGGGCTGTCAGCCAGCGAGCAGAGCACCAAGCTGCCGCCCAAGAGAGCCTCGGGGAAGCTGCTGCGGCGCCGAGCCCGGTCCAGGCTGCGCATCACCAACGTGAGTGCCACAGGGGCCAGGCAGGGGCCAGGAAAGTGCCAGGCAGGGCCAGGAGGGTTCTCCTGGGCTGAGCCAGCCCTGCCGCCCACAGATCTCCGACAAGAACGACCGAGTGGTGGAGTGCCAGCTGCAGACCTACAACAACAAGATGGTGACCTTCAAGTTCGACCTGGATGGGGACAACCCGGAGGAAATTGCAGCCGCCATGGTGAGAGCAGGGGGAGGGTGAAGGTGGGGTCTGCCTGGCTGGGCTGGGTGCTGATTGACCCCTCCACCCTCAGGTCCACAATGAGTTCATCCTCAAGTCAGAGAGGGAGAGTTTCATCAACCGTATCCGGGACATCATCCACCGTGTGGAGACCCTGCTCCGCAAGGACGGCCGCAGTGGCACCGAGCTGCCCAAGGGCCCTGAGGCTGACAGTGCTCTGGGCAGCCCCGTGAGTGCCAGCCTGGCCCTGCCAGCGCTGGGGAAGCTGCTGCTGCTGCTGCTGGGCATGGCTTTAAATGCTGCCTGGCCCCAGGGAGTGCAGGGTGGGGGCTGGGGTGCAGGGTCCTCCTGTGGTCACTTACCAGCTCCTGTGACAAGTCAAGGTGCTCGCCAGCACAGAAGAGACTCCAGCTCCTGTCCCCACAGGTGGTGGGGCCAGGGTGGGGCCCAGTGGGGGCTTGGCACAGCCTGGCTGGGGCCTCTGCCCCAGTGCTGGGCTCAGCTCACCCTTCTCGCAGGTGGACCTGCAGCTGCAGGGGCTCTCGCGCTCCATCTCCTCCTCATCCTCACTCAGTGGTATGTCTGTGCCCCTCTGCGGGCCCTTCCCGTCTCCCCAAGCCTCGTGCAGGGCAGGTGATGGCCTCAGCCAAGCCCTGAGTGTCTCAAAGGACATGTCCTGCCCTGGCTGAGCCTGGCTGTCACCCCTGTGCCACAGACCTGAGCTGCACCAGTCCCAGCCTGTCTGTCCAGTCCCCCGTGCTGCCGCTGCTGAGCCGCTCCCCATCAGAGACCAACCTGGCCAGTCCCGTGGAGCTCCCGGCAGCCCCGGGGCCACTCGGGTCCCCCACAGGTACCAGTGGCAGGCTGGGCATGTTCATTGCCCTGGGGCTGCCAGCTGCTCCCCTGGGCAGGGGCAGGAGGTGGCCCTGGGGGCTGCTCCTGATGCTTCTCTCCCTGCAGGCTCAGTGCAGACCTGGCCCCTCGTCTCGATGACTCCATCCTGGCTCACATCGTCACCAGCACTGACACCAACGCTGACTCCCCAGGGGACCCCAGGGGGGCCTGTCCCCCCAGCCCTGCCCCAAGCCCTCCTGTCCCCCCAGCCTGTCCCCCCATCTCCTGTTCCCCATGAGCCCAGCAGCCCCCTGAGCCCCGCTGTGACCAGCACACCCTTGTCCCCCACTACCCCCCTCTTGTCCCTGGCCAATGTGTTCTCCCTGGCAGTGATGACTGTGGCCCACACTGTCTCCTCCATTGCCAGCTCAGGTGGGCACCTCTACCCACCACTGCTGCCACGGCCACAGAGTCTTGCCCTCGGTGCCCCACGCTTTGTCTACCCCAACCCCACCAGCACAGACAAGCCAGTCCCACCTGGCAGTGGGATCCCAGAGTCAGTGGGAGGTGCTGTCCCCACTGCTGGAGTGCCCATATCCTCCCTTCCCTTGGCACCAGCCCCAACGTGCCCCCCGGGCAGCGAGGCCGTGGGGAGCCCTCTGCAGCTGCTGAGCCCATCCACATCTGGGAGTGCAGAGGGCAGCACGGTGAGTGTGGGTGTACAAGGGTTGTCCAGGGCTGCTCCAGGTGGAGCTCAGTGTCAGCAGGGCTGGGTGGCTGCTGCGGATGCTGCACTGGGATGGGATGGAGCCTCATGGCTTGTGGAGCCACTGGGATGCAGCGGGTGGCAGATCCCAGGGCACGGAGGGGAGGACAGGAGATGTGGCAGGACCTGGGGTGGGGCTGCTGATGTGCTCAGGTGCCCACAGGTGCTGCCCGGTGCTCCCAAGCCCAGCCACTCTCTGATCATCTCGGAGGCACCAGCCCCCAGCGCGCCCAAGGCGCAGCTCTCGCCCATCAATGAAGGTAAGCGGGGCAGGGCCGAGGCTGTGCCTGTGCCAGGGCACCGCAGTGCCCGGCCAGCCCCTGTGCCCTGAGCCCACCAGCTGCCCCTGACCCCCGCAGAAGCCAAGCCCCAGGTCCTGGGCCGGTTCCAGGTGGTCCCAGCCCGGGACCTGGCCGTGAGCTCCGCGGTGCTGGGCAGCAGTGACGGGGAGCAGCACGGCCCGGAGCCAGCAGCGAGCGGCTCCCCGCCTCCCGCGGTGCCCGACACCAGCCACAGCTCGAGCAGCGACTCGGATGTGGCAGCGGAGGCAGCGGAGCGAGGCCCCAAGGCTGAGGAGGTGCCAGCCGAGGGGGGCACCGCTCCTGCTGCGCCGGCGGGGAGCGACCCAGGGGAGGGCCCTGGGGAAGAGAGCACAGAGAACGTGCCGCAGGCCATGCTGAGCCAGGTGTGGCTGAGCTACTCCCGCAGCTTGTCCTACGTGAGCAGCGATGACACCGAGAGCGAGGACGAGGAGATCTGGGAGGAGCTGCAGAACCTGCGCCAGAAGTGAGCCGGGGCTGGGCTGCACCTGGGAGGCGACCCGCGCTCCCAGCCAGCCCGGGGGGGAGCTCGCTGTCCCTTCCCCAGGCCCCGCTGCCAGCCCCTGTCCTCTCCGCAGGCACCTGGCGGAGGTGCAGCTGCTGCAGAGCGCCCAGAAGAAGGAGATCGAGGAGCTGTACCTGCGCATGGGGAAGCAGCCGCCGCTGGGCATCGTCTCGCCCGCTGCCATGCTGTCGGGCCGCCAGCGCCGCCTCTCCAAGGGCAGCTTCAACCCGTCCCGCCGCAACAGCCTGCAGCGCCTGGAGCTGGCACCGCCCGCAGGTGCCGCCCGCTCATCCCCGGCGGCCACGGGGCTGCTCGGCCCGGCCGCGCCCTCACTCGCGCTGTCCCCGCAGGCATCATGCGCCGTAACTCGCTGAGCGGCAGCAGCACCGGCTCGCAGGAGCAGCGGCTCAACAAGGGCGTGACCTTCGCCGACGAGCTCGGGCGCATGGTAAGGGCAGGGCGGGATGCCACGGCGCTCCCGGCCGAGCCCGCGGCGCTCGGCTCACGGCTGCTTCTCTCCCCAGTAGCCGGCTGGCCAAGAATGACTCCGTGAACTACCTCATCCAAGTGCCTGCTGCCCCGGGGCGGGCAGAGCCAGCCCGGCAGAGCCCGTGCTCCCAGCCACAGCCGCGTGCCCGCTGTCCCCAGCCCCTCAGCTGGAGGACACGGGCGAGGCGTCTCCGTCCTGGGGGGCTGGAAGGAGCTGAGCCCGCCCCGAGGATCCCCGGCTTGTCCCAGCCCAGCCCCGGAGCCCGCCCGCCCTGCCGGCTGCAGCACCGCGATCCGGGAGCACTTTGATATGAACTGGCGTTGGAAAAGCGTTTTCATAAACACGGATTGAATACAAACGGTGTCTGCTGCGTGTCTGTGGGGCAGGACGCGCGGCTGCTTGCCTCACTGTGTGAGGATAAAGAGCAAAGCAGAAAATCCCCCCTCAGCCGCCCCTGAGCCGGGCTCAGCTCAAGAGATCCGTGACAACGGGCGCTGAGGCGTTCTCCAGTGAGGGATTTATTGTGGGGAGTGCCGGCACCGGGGCGCCCCTGTCCTTCCCGCGGGCACGGCCCCGGGCCGGGCTCTGCCTGCCTGCGGGGAGCCCCCGGGGCGTTCTCCCGGGCCAAGCAGAGCACGGGGCAGGCCCGAACCCCTCAGGCGCAGCTGCCTCGAGGCCCGTCCTGCCTGGCGCGGGCGGCAGCTCAGTCCCGGGCCGAGCCGAGCCGGGCCGGGCCGGGTTCTCCCCGCTCAGCTTGCGGCGCCCTCGGCCCGCGCCCGGGCCCGCGCCCGCGCCGCCTCCGCCTCCTGCTCCAGCTCGTCCAGGAACCGCTCCTGCGACACCGAGTAGAAGGTGTAACCGTCTGCGGGGGGAGTTAAGGAAAAGCAGCGGGCGCGGCCCCCGGAGCCCCCCGGCCCCTCGGTTCCCCGGCCCCGGAGGATACAGATGCCAAATGTCACGGCGCCGATGCCGAGCGCCAGCAGCACGTTGCGGCTGCGGAGCCGGCGCTGCAGGGCGCGCTGGCGCTGGACGTGCTCCACCTGCGCCATGAGGCGGCGCTGCTCGGGGCTGAGCCCCGGCTCCCGGGCCGGGTCGATGCGCCGCGCGAACGCCGCCTCCCCTGGCTCTCCCGGCGCCGCCATCTTTCCCCGCCGTCCCCGCGCGGCGACGTGACGTCACATCCGGCGGGGACGCGCTGGCCAATCGGAGGGCCCGAGCGGCGCGCGGTTGGTGCCGGTCGCGGCATCGGCGCCTGATGATTGGCGGAGCGGCGTCACGTGACGGGGGAACCGGGCCGGGGCCTGAACCGGGCCGGGGCCTGAACCGGGCCGGGGCCTGAACCGGGCCGGGGCCTGAACCGGGCCGGGGCCTGCCCAAAGCCCGGCCCGGTCCCGCAGCCGAGCACCGTGGGCCCCGAGCGCCCGGCCCGTCCCGTCCCGGTTCCGCCTCCGAGCGGCCGGGAGGAGGCGGCGGAGCCGCGTCCCGGTCCGTGCCGTGGCGCCGGTGAAGTCGCTGCCATTGCGGCTGCGGGCCTGCCCCGCTCCATGGGGTCTCAGGCGCCCGTGCCAGGCCGCGGCCGTGACTCAGGCCCCGTGTTCAGTGGCGTTGCTGCTGAGGTCATCGAGGACACCCTGATGCACCTGGCCACGGAGAACGAGCAGTACCTGAGCGAGCTGCCAGAGCAGGCTGGGCTCTTCAAAGAGACGCGCATCGTGGGTGAGGGTCAGCCGCGGCAGCTCCCGGGGCAGGGGCGGCTCTGCGCTGAGCTCCAGGAGCCTGCAATGAGTGCCTGCTGTGCTTTTTGCAGAATTTATATTCCTTTTGTCTGAAAAATGGCACTTGGACCAGTCCACACGGTACCAGGCAGTGGAGTTGCTTGAACGGTAATGAAGAGTCCTCAACACTCAGCACATTTCCCATTCCCTGCTGGGGTTTTATGGCCCAGCCCTGGCCCACTCTGTCCCAAAACCACACATGATTAATGTGCTCTGTCTCCTTTTTCATTTAATCCAAATTACCAACATATACTCTTATACATATATATTAAAATATATATGTATGTATAGTATAGACATGTATAAATAGTATATATACATATAAAACATATGTATATATAGTATATATAGTAATATGTATGTGTATATACATTTTATGTATAGTACATAAAATATATATGTATATATAGTACATATACTATATCTAGTATATGTATATATATAATAATCCAAATTATTACTTCTACATATACATATGTATTCACATATATATAAATATATATATTATATCATGTATATATATTATATATACACATCTACACATATATACATATATATACACATATATATATAATATGCACATGTCTGTGGAATTGCCTTTGTTCCTTTTTGTGGGCAGCCAGAACCATCCTCTGAGCAACTTTTGTTGTACATGTATGTGGAATTGCCTTTGTTCCTTTTTGTGGGCAGCCAGAACCATCCTCTGAGCAACTTTTGTGGCTTTTGTAGGTTCATGATCAAGCAGGTAGAACAGATGTGTGATGGCAGAGGGAGCACCAAAGGTCGTGAGCAAGGCCAGAGGAGCAGCTGGAGCTCTGTGAGGGATCACATCACCAACACCTTTGTCCTGAGACTCGTGTCCTGTGTTCAGCTTGCCAGCAAACTCTCTCTGCACTACAGTGTAAGCCAGCTCAGCCTGTCCTTGCTCTAGCAGCGTGGTTAAATCAGCAGGGTATTAATCTCTCTTAAAAATAGATTTCCTTTTTGGAAGACAGTAGTGATAATGAGATGCCAAGGACACCACATTCCCTTTAGGGTAGGTAAATTGCTGCTCGTCCAGTAACAGTTTGCTGGGAAGTGTTCCCAGTTCTGAGGGGATAAAAAAGGGCAGGAACATCTCAAAAATGGTGTGTCCACAGGGTTCACACCTGCCTGGAATGGTTTGTTGAGCTGACACCTGTGGGCAAGGTCAGAGCTGGATTTCCCATGCCAGCTCAAAGGACTCGTGCTCAGCAGGAGCAGAGGTGACAGAGCACTTCGTTCCTGCCTTACTGCCTGGAAGACCTTTTGTCTCTTTTTTTCTTCTTCAGAGAGTGACCAGTGACACAGCTTTAACATTTCTGCAATCCTTAAAATACTCCTACACTAAACAGGAATTGCTGGAGTCGGAGCTTGCTGTTTTAAACACTCTGCACTTCCACATCAATGTGTCAACTCCCTTGGCCTATGTGGAATTGCTCCTGGAGGTCCTAGGTGAGAGTATCAGTCAGGGAGAATGGGAAGGAAGTTTTTTAGTAGGGTCACAGAGCTGTTGCTGGTCTGAAATGTCTCATATTACAGATTTTGCATGTGGAACTGTTCAGACTGTCCAGAGCTTCACTTTTTAGAGGAGAACTCTGTCCTTTGTAGAATGTTGTTGGACAGCCAGTCATGACTCGTTCAGTAAAAGATTAAGAGTTTAAAGCCCCCAAATGTGGTGCCAGGCCACATTTTCCACAATCAGTCACCATTTTCTTGGACCAGTTCTGACAGCCTGAATTTCAGAGTGAAATTACATTGAGGCTGAGGGATGCTGAGGCTGAGGGATGCTGTGGCATTCAGAGACAGGGCAGTTGTCCTCAGAACTCCCTCTCCCTTACGGTACCCGAGACTCCTAATTCAATGTAGTGACCCAAAATGTGGCACTGATGGTGTGATCTCTGCCAGGATACAATGGCTGCTTGCTTCCTGCCAAGCCCTTACACCAGCTGTGTGTGCAGCTGCTGGACTTCTGCTACCTGACCAGAGAGACCATCTATGACACTCTGCTGAAGACTGCCATCGAGAACTCCACACCAAGCAAACTGCAGATGTAAGACCTGACAATGACTTAAAATAACCCTTTGAAATGAAAACCCTTGAGAAACTAATAATAATCATAAAAAACCCCTTTGAAATTAAAACCCTTGGAAAAGCTAATAAATAGCAGCACAACTCTCATTATGCCATTCTGGGGGCATGTTTCAAAAAATAGTTTTTGAGGAGCATTCATCATTGTTTCTCAGTGTACCAGTTCAAAGCAACATGCTTTTCCACAGCTGCTTCAAGGCAAGGAAAGTGTTTCATTTGGTTAAAATCCAGCCTTGCACTGTCAGTTCCAGCTTCTGGTGATGGGTTTTGGCTGGCCTGAATAAACCAACATGTCCTGGGCACTGGCATGCAGCAGCAGGTGGCTTTTGAACTGTGAAGCAGCATTTTACAGCTGAACACACTTTTCCTCCTGCAGAGCCAAGTTTTTAACAGTGAAGGAAGATTTCATGCTGCTGGCTGTTGGAGTCATCAGTACAGGTGTGTTCATCCTGAGCCCCGGGCACTGGGAGCAGGTACAGTCACTGCTGAAGGCGTTGGCTCCACGGGAACACAGTGCCAAGGTGGTTGATCTGCTCCAGCACAAGTGGGGCTGCACTGGGATGGGCACCTCTGTCTTTTAGCACAAAGCATGTGGGTTTTGTCAGAGCTGAGGGCATGGGGCAGTTCTGTGTGCCACATCTGTTGTGTTACTTTTTGAGTTAGCTCAAAGAGAAACTCATTACACTTGAGATAGCTAAGCTACTTTGAACAGTATAAAATTAGTAGGATGGCTTTTGAGGTAGTGTTGGAAATAGAAAAAGGTTTAATAAAAGGCAAAATAACAAAGCTCTTAGAGAGAAAAACTGAGTTAGGGGTAAGAGGTTTTTGCTCCTGCTAAAACACCCCACAAAAGGGATTATTTCCTTTGTTCCCTTCCTTTTCTAGTGAATTACCTAGACAGGACTCTTGGCCTCTGTCTAGTTGGACAGCCCCAGGTCTGAGGTGAGTCCCAAAAATCCTATGAGGTGTCTTTTGTACCAAATTGTGAGAGAAACTTCTGGGCTTTTTGCCTTTTTAAGCAAAGAATAATTTAGTCACTCCATCAACAGGGGGCACATTCCTACAAGTGTCCTCCCCTTTAGTGCTTCCCAGCCAGAACAAAACCCCACAGCAATGTTTCACTGGCAGGTAGAGCAGCAACCTCATGGAGCAGTTACTCTTGTCAGTCTGTAAACTCACAGCCTTTAGGTGTTCTTTTATTTTCTCCAGGTTGTGGAGCATTTGAACTGCATCACTGGCATTACTCCCCAGAGCATCCTGGAGTTCTCCTACGCCGTGGTGAGGCGCATCGTTGGCAGCACCACACCTGAGCAGCACCGTGGCAACTGTGGCACCAAATCTCCTGAGGACAGAATTCCTCCTCAGAAATAAAACCACCCTGGCCATCCAGGCAGCAGCAGCAGGAATTGTCACGCTGCTGGGAACTGTCCCTCCTCTGTGACACTGCCCAGGCACCCAGCACAGCTCAGGGTTACCTGAATTCTGTCACATCTTAATTAGCAAAGCTCGTCCTGCCAGGCATCACAGTCATGCTCTGAAAGGAGCCCAACAGCACCACAGTGTTTAGAAATGTCCTAAAAGCTTTATTGTAACAGCTGCCTTTTTAAATTTTGAATCTAAGCTCCCTTTAACCAGAGACCCCTCAGAGTGGTTGTGTTTGAAAGGTGCTGCCATGCCTGGTGGGACCAGCTCCACAAATGGGGCTGCTCTGTCTCCTCCTGCTGCTTTTATAAAACCCCTGTCCCAGCTGCCTGTGATTGTCCCCTCTGTGCCAGCACCTCCTGCCCTGCCACAGCCAGCAGTGTTGTGTGAGGACAGAATGGGGCCAGTGCTGTGACTGTCACCACAGCAGTGCCCAGCCTGGGTGTCCCTGCCAGTGCCAGGGGTTTGTACTGTGCCAGGCACTGCTGGAAACACCTGGAATCATTTCATGGTTTCCTCAGCACAGCCCTGTGCAGGAACAGGCTGCAGGAGGGATTGCAGTGCTGTAATGGTATCAAACCTTGCTAAGTGCAGCAGCACAAAGAAGTGCTGATATGACTTAGGAAATATTTTATTTTAAACTATTTAATGACCAGGCAGAGTTCTGGCAGTTTTCTGACATTATTCCCTGTGTTTGTAATGTCCTGCTTTTCCAACCTTGCATTAGCTGTAACAGAGCAGCATCAAACTGATGCTCATTTGACAATGATTTATGTGCATGGCCATAAACCCCAAAAATAACAGTTTAGAATCCATTTAATAGCTGGGTTTTATTCTGTTCAGCTCAATGATACAACTTTGCATATTGCTTTTCTATTAACTACTTGTAATAATGGCATTTTAAAATAAAGTGTCTTGTGGATTTTTGGTATTGTAAACATTTTGTACTGGTTAATAGTAAGAGACATCTGAATTTGCCTTTCTCCAACACAAAGCAGACACTCCACAGCTGCCAGGCCAAGTTCTGATCACAGTTACTTGTTATAGAATTGGGATGAGACCCAGGCCAAGCCCCATTTCAGGTTAGTTAACATGAATTTTAGTGCTTTTGTCCACTGCTCTTCAGAGTTAAATTGTGTTTTAATTGAATAAGAGCCACCACTGCCACCTGTGTCTTCGATCTTTCCTTTCTCCACGTCCATCCTGTATCACACACAAGCTTTAATTAGTGTATTCCCACTGCAAACATTTAATCTCAGTATGACACCAAGCACTACATTTTAAATCTGACAATAACACTATCCTGTTTTTAAAGGGACTTGAGCAAGCCTCAGGACTTAAGTTTCATTCTAACTAGCAAACACATCATTAAGAATTCCAGATGATTTCTGAAAAATCAGGGCTGAAACAGCAAGCAGTGCTAGGGGAGCATAGAGGGCTGAATTTGACAGTTTTGTGGCAACACTCACCTGTAAGGCAAACAAAACCGAGTTTCACCTTTCTCCACTTCCTCTTTGAACTGCTGCACACAGTCCAGGAATGCCACCATGGCATGATCAAACTTATTGTCCCAGAAGAACCTCAACCCTCCAGAGCAGTACAGGGGAAGCTCCTGGGAAAGAGATTTGTGTCAGGAACACCAAGCACTTGTTTCTGGTATGGTCACTGCAGCTTTTTAACCTCATGTGAAGCTTAAACATGTGATGGGGTGCTGAGAAATGGCTTGTGGCAGAGGGCAAGTGTGACTGGTTTTGTGCAAGTGCCTACCATGTGCAGGCATATGTTCCTGACTTCCACCAGCCCCAAATCATGCCATCTACCTGCCAATCACCCCAAAATATGCCTTTGCCTCTGGGCATTCAACAGTTCTTTCAGTTTTAACACTGCTGGCTGGCAGCACCAGTGGCTTCATACAGGATGTGAGATGTCACCATGCTGGAGGAGCTGGGGCAGCCAGCTTTGCTGGATTCCACATGCACAGAGACCAAGCTTTGCTTCCTGCATCCCCAGTGTGACCAGGGCTCTGGCACTCAAGATCAACGTCCCATGACTTGTATGGGATCCCTTACCTTGGATTTGTCTGTGAGAGACTCCAAATAGGAGTGGTTGCCATAGGGGACAAGGCGGTACCTGAAAAAAGGAGACAGAATTCACAGGCACCCGAGTCTGCCTCTTCCTCTGGGCCATAAATGACCTGTGTGTGGTATTTGGGTACCTCTGAAACTTCAGGCCCATTTTGTTGGCCAGGGCATGCAGCAGCAGCACAGTCTGCCCCCAGGCAGCGTTGATCTCATTCCATTCCACAGGAACGCTGGGGAGGCGGCCAAGCCTGAAGTTATTTATTGTGCCAAACTGCCCACTGTGCCTGTGATAAGAAAAATTATAAATAAATGTGCTAGGCTGGAAAAAGCTCCTGGCCTGATAACCAAAGAGGGGCTGCGTCCCAGCAGCACAGCACACACAGTGCCAGCCACGCAAAAGGAGGGTTTGGGGCTGTTCTTAACAAATGTATGTAAACACCAAACATTTGTTCTCTTTTTGCCATAAAAACACAACAAAATCCCCCAGCCAGCCTCTCCAAGCTGCCTGCTTTGTGAACCCTAATGCCAGTGTCACTGCTTGCTGGCACAGGGGGTCCCCAAGTGTTACTGGGACTGGTGAAGGAGCCATTTCCCAGTCCCACAGCCTGGCACACCTTACTCAGCTGCCATGCCTGGGACATGGCGTTCACTGCTTTGCTGGGAGGTAACTGTGAGCTGGCTTGCACCTCCCCTGTCAAATGCAGTGACTTAAACAGCTTCACACTGCAGATTCCAAGAAAATGGATGTAACATTCCAGTGTCCACGTTACCAGATGTGGAAGGTAGCGTTGAACACGTTGGTTTTCTTTAGTTTATCCAACTGCATCTGGGCATAGCGCATTTGGTTGTCCACACTTTTCAGCTCATCATCCAGCTCCAGCTGCTGCCTCTTGAACTCACAGTATTCCTTCTGGTACCTTTGAGCAGAACCAAGACAAGAAGTGCTGAGTGCTGGCTCCTACCTCAGAGTGACAGCTCTGCAGGCCAGTTTGGTCCTGCCACCTTTCCTTCTGCACAGAGCGAGCCACTGGCACTTGGGCACATTCACAGATTTCTCATGTTACCATTTACATGTTTGTCATTATTTTTTTGCCTCCAAGCCCTGCCACAAGCTGCAGGAGCAGCTCACTCACTGAGCCTCCTCCTGCTCCAGCCGCTCAGCCTCTGCCCTGACTTTCTCAAAGTCCTCAGCCACAATCTTGCGGTTCTTCTCCACATCCTCCAGCTCCTGAATCAGCTGCTCTTCCTCCAGCGCCAGTTCCTTCAGCTCTGCCTGCAGCTTCTCTTTATCATCCTCATTCATCTGCTCCAGTATCTCCAGGCATCTCCTAGAGAACAACAGGATTACCAGAACAGGTATGCTGGGAGTCCTGCACCGCCAGCCCTGTCAATCCTGAGCTCCCCACACTGACTGTGCCTCACGTGCCTCAAGCTCTGCATCACTCACTTGTAGTTCTGGCACTCGTTCTCCGTGATGTTGAGCTGTGTGTCCAGCTGGTCCAGCAGAGTGTCTGTGCACTCCTCACACAGAGGGTGATCCACATCTGTCTGCCCAGACATGATGTCAAAGAGGTCCCCAGTGACCTGGAGGAAGGGCTCACATTACTGCAAGTGAAACCACAGGCAGCTGCCTGCTGCTTTTCAGCAGCTTCAGTTAGCAGGAATCTTCTTTGCAGGCCAAATATAGATTAAAATCATTTATCTCTGCTCAACTAGTCACCAACCAAGCCCCTGGAAGGCAAATGCTATGGGAAACTTTGCGGTTTAGTTTTGCAGAGCATCAGGAAAAAGTGATGCTCCACTGCCAAGGATCTGAGTTTGCCCACTTGCCTTCAGTCTCCTGCTGAGGTTCTCCATGGTGCCACCATCCGAGGCCTCTCCGATCAGCGTGAAACTGTTGGCACTTTCTGTTGACATCATTCTTGGAAAGAATGTGACTGATATGAGCGCTGAGTGCTGAGAGGAGGCAGCTCCAGCGCCAGACCAGAATCTGGGGCTGACTCAGGGAAAAGGGAGAGCAGGAGGCAGGGGTAACCCGTGTTTTGGGGGCTCTGTCAGGTTTGCTGACCCACAGTGCCCCAAGGACTGTGCAGTTCTGTGCTCAGACTGACAAGGGGCCCGGGGGATCCTGCAGGGGAAGGTGACAGGAGCTATCCAGTGTCACCCACCGGCGGGGGGACATTTCTGAGGCGCTGCCCCAGCGCAGGCTCAAGCTGTCCGCAGGGAGAGGCCAGGCTCCCGCAGGGAGAGAGCCTGACGGGACTGCGGCGGCGGCTGTACCTGGCTGGCGGGATGAACCTCCTGGACACGCCATCCTGCCGGTTCTCCACGAAGGCTTCCTGGAGGCACGGAAACACCGTTACGGGCAGGCCCGGGGGAGACGCCGCCGAGCCCCGCCGCCGAGCCCGCCCGTACCTCCGTCAGGGCGCTCTCCTCTTCGTGCAGATCCCCGGGCCTGGCCGGGGCGGCGGTCACCAGCGGGGCTGTGGGAGAGACGGCGTCAGCCGGGCCCAGGCCTAGGCCCGAGCCGCGGCCCCCCACCCCAGCCCGCGTCGCTCGGTACCGGTGAGCTCCTGGATGGTGAGGCGGTCGAGGACCTTGAAGGAGGTGTCGAGCTTGAGCGGCTGGCAGCAGCGCTGGCACACGAAGCTGACGTGCGCGGTGCCTCCGCCGCCGCCCGCCCGCGCTGCCTCCATCGCGCCGCCCGCGCGCGCCCCGCCATCGCCGCGCGCCGGACGTGACGCAGGGGAGGCGGGGCGCGGTCCTGGCAGGGCGCGCGCGGCATTGGCGGGCGCGCGGCGTGAGGTCACTTCCGGCGTGGGCCCGGGGAAGCGGAGCGGCCCCGAGAACCGGACCCGCCATGGCCTCGCTGCTCAAGGTGGACCCGGAGGTGAAGCTCAAGGTGCGCCCGGCCCCGCCGCTTGCCCCGCCCCGCCTGGCCTCGCCCGGCCCGGTTCGGTCCCGCTCGGCGGCCGCCTCCGCTCTTGCTGGCGCCGGCCCGGGGCGGGGCGGGCTTGGGGCCGCCCCGCCCCCGAGCCGGGCCCCGTGTGCCGGGGGCGGCCCGGCGCATCCTTGGCCCCGGCGCATCCTTGGCCCCGGCGGGAGCTGCGCGGTTTCCAGCTCCCCGCAGCGCCCGGGGGCGGGCGGGCGGACGGAGCCGCTCCGGGCAGCTCCCGCTCGGTGTTGGCGGGCTCCTCCCGGTCCCCCGGGAGAACGGGAGGCTCATGCGGGGCTCAGCGCGGCCTCCCCGGGCCCCGCTGTTCGGAGCGACCCTGACGTGTCCCTGTTTCGTTCTGTAGGTTGACTCCTTCAGGGAGCGGATCACGAGTGAGGTGAGTGCCAGGGCTCGGGCAGGAAGGAGGGTTTTTTGGCCTTATCTTTCTGACACACTCGATTGTGGGCTGAGCCTGCCCTGGCAGCTTAGCAACACCCAGCAACACCCAGCTGATGCCCTCATCGCTGCAGTGAGGCTCCTGAGCCTCGTGCCTTTCTTCTCACCTGGGCTTTGTTTGGTGTTGGCAGCAGGAAGCAGTCGGTTCTCTTTGTTTCCTGCTTGTGTACAGATGATTTCCCTGCTGTTCTTGCCTGCTAGTGGGAGCCACGTGGCCTTCTCCCTCATCACTGTTTGTTCTTTATTTCTTTCTTAGGCTGAAGACCTCGTAGCAAACTTTTTTCCAAAGAAGCTGTTAGAACTCGATGGATTCCTTAAGGTAGGGTGTGCCCTGTGCTTTGTGTCCTTTTCCACTCTCAGCTACATTTTGGAAGTGTTGTGGCAGGTCTCTCCTGGGTGTTTTCCATGCATTTCACCTTGCTGCAGAGACACAAGGCAGCAGCTGCAGTG